AAGTTTCATATGAATAATGAGTTTCAACATTCAAAAAGTGGAGTCTGACAATTTTAGTAATGATTCTAGTTCCCTATATATATTACCAGATTTGATATTCATGAATGCGTAATTTGCGTATTCATAATTTATGCAAATTAACCTATGCATTTTCAAATATCATACAAATAATGAAACCTCATGAATGTGACATGAAGGAAACATATATTCAATACATTTTCAAGATTCTTCACAAGTCTACGGACAAATATGTAGAGTTTTCTGTAAAATGCATAACATTAGCATTTTGCATAATTAATTAGGCTATAACGACACAAATTTGCATATTAGGAAAAAACTAATTATACTATCTTGTTCCTTACGTGTATATTTACAAACATGCACATTTTCGTGTTTATCGGACATTGGACGGCCGAGATCATAGGGGGGAGGGGGGCTCCCAGGCTCCCCGCCCCCCCCCCCCCCCCCCCCAATGAGTGAGGTGCTCAAAATAGCCCAGTACAGTAAGGGTTAAGAGAGATGTGAGTTAGTCAGCTCGCTGTCATCACCTTCAAACTGGCTCAGAAGAACACTGACCTGCTATTGAGCCATCGCGCTATACGTATACATATAAATTCTTTCTTAGCAGTCAGGTAAAAACAAACCATCTTCAAACTAACAACTTGTAGCTTACTTCGGTAGTCACTTGTGGTCCATGATCGATCCGTGTAACACATCCATGTCTCGACAAAATTGCAATTCATCCAGACCCGGTCTGCGTTCACGTGAGGCTGCAGCAAATCGTACTCTTCCACATTCTCTGTGAAGAGCAGGGAAGGCTCAATCATTTCTCCGTTGCCCTTGGTAACTGCATCCAGACCATTACAGAAGTCACGAGCAGTATTCCAATCAACGTTTTGGAGTCGGTTCACGATCAGGAAACACTTTGTGTGCCCATACACCCAACCATCTGGACAGGCTGTTATAGAAAAGTAGAAAAGTAGAAAAGTACGACATCAGTGAAACTCCTAATAGTTGGTTCATGGAAAGCTCGATATTTTGTTTGCATGTATTTTGTTTGATTAATGCTTTCTAGTTCTGCCTAAAATATTTCCTTGGTACACACATTGGTAGCAATGAGATGATGACCTTATAAGTAAAACAAAACAAGCAATTGCCTTTGATCTTTTGTTTTGCTTTTTCTTGTCCTGTGTTTGCTGTTTTTAATCAGTTTATATTATATTTTTGTAATGTGATTTAAAACGTAATTGTAATCACTATACTGATTATTCGATTTGTCCTCGGTCAGCCACACGTTAGGAACATTTCCTTTTTTATTTTGGCTGCTGCCTTCTCCAGCACAATATTTATCTATATTGCTTGCTTGCTAAGGCTATGGTGACGACTCAAAACAAAATTGCCTGCTCGGGGCCGGGCGGCGAATTTTTCGCCATTTTCGCCGGGGGAACCGAGCGGCGGCCGTCGGGGAACGCTTGTTTTTAGGGCATCGCTCGGTCGCCGCTGAAGTTTTAGCGCGGAGTTAAAATTCGGGCGCCTGCTCACTTTTCACTCGCCAGCCAAAATTCGCTCGGTGCCCGGGCTGTCGCCGAGCGGTCGCCGCATGGTCGCCGCTGGGAGATCAGTCAGTCACTGGGCGACGAATTCAAAATCGGTCGGCAGCCTTTGACCTAGCTGCTTCGATTTTTGACCTAGATCGCTTGACGGCGAACGCTCAAAAAAGTCGGTGCTCGGGCGGCGACCGCCCGGGCACCGAGCATATTTTGGTGCCTCGCTGATCACCGGCCGTCCGCCGGGCACTTTCTTCAAAATCAGCCGGTGGCCGGTGGGAGACCGCTCGGGAATCGGTCGGTCATCAGTCTGTCACTGCCGGGACGCCACCCGGAGAAGTTTTGACTTTAAATCCACCGGCGACAGACGGGAAGTCGACAGGGCACCACCCAAGGCATTGCTGGGGCTCTACAGCCTGCTCGACTTCTCCAAAAATCGTTGGACGATGCCTAAATTCCAGCGTCGCCCGAGCAGGCTACAAATCAGTCGGTCGCCGCTCTGAGTTGTGACCACAGCTTTAGTGCCTTGTCTGTTCCACCTTGTTTGTTCCAGACATTGGCGAACAAGGCTTTCCATCTATTTATGTTTCTGGTTCTTTATAATGTGACGTTACCTCTGTTACCAGTCAGCCCAATGAACTTATCCATGTATTTGATTAGCTGTCTCCTTACGTCACTTTACATCAATTATTCCGGTCATTATTCTGTTTTATGTGCATTCTCCTCTCATAATATGCGCAACAAACTGAAGCTGTCTTTTCCTTATGAGGTTCAGAATCGACACACGCCTTATTGACGACTTCTTCGTTTGTTTGCCCTTGGAGTTGCTTTATGAAACATGAAAGGAAAATCTGTAATGTTGGACTACACTTTCATGCCATATGCTTGTCAAGTCCCACATGAAGTCACACATTTGTGTCATGTCTGTTCGCAGTGCATGTAATTTTCAGCAAGAAAAAGCAAACTGTTATAAATATTTATGACTGAAAAAACTCAAAGTATACAACAGTATTTTTGCGCTATACAATCTGTCCAGTTCTTTTTAGAGGATCTTAACATTAAAACTGGCATGCAATGTCAAAGGGCACCGTTAACATGACCGCACTTACTTTTGAATACAACACTTTCAATGGCACTTTCTATCAGCTATTGAAATATGCGATTGAAATTAAAATCACGTCTTTTGACCTTCATGTGACATGTAATAAACACATTTAAATGACTATTGAGTACATTTCTCGAAAGTCTGTGCGATCGTATTCATGTTAATTACAACCTGAGTTTAAAGGTAATGCAAAGTTTTGGGAGATATTAAAAAATGGATTGATAGTAATTCTTTAAAATGTTGATATATTTAGATGCCTCTGTGGATGTTTTATAAGCACTAGAAAATTTAGCCCCTAAAACACTTCTGCTTTTGAGTAATTGAATAATAAAAAATGTACCGGTGCTCCCCGTAAATTTCAAATATTACAAATAGCGCCTAAGGCCAATCCATGGTAGCTGCGGCCATGACAATCTCAGAATATGCAGTTCTGATATATAATTTCTAAACGGGAATAGCAAATCGATCAGTGTAGTCAAGAAACATTGTTGCAGATCTAAAGTAATGTCAGTCTTGAGATGGCGCTATACAACATAAAGAGCCTATTATTTACAATTTTATCACAGTGATAAAATATATTCAATGATCGTTGTCGCGGCTGAAATCGAGTCTACAATGATCGTTGTCGCGGCTGAAATCGAGTATAGACTCGATTTCAGCCGCGACAACGATCATTGAATATTGTATTCGTATATATAGTTCCAATATGTTCATTTGAACCAAATTCATGACCCCATACGAAAACTTTGTAATATCTTTAAGCATGATAAAAGGGGCTACAGCCAGGGGACCATAATTGAGAAAGAGAGCGAAATATTTTGTGAACTATTTAATCCTCCTAAAGGCCCTCGAGGCCGAAACACAGTGACAAACAAATCACCATTTTATAAAAAAGAATACCAATTTATATCCACATACACGCGCACAACGGTAATTATAAACTAAAACTGCATACGCAATATTATTCGGAGTCAATTTCAAAGTTTGAGTCCACGCAAAATATAGAGCTTTCCAAATAACTTACCTTGCTGCTCGCAATGTATTCCGATGAATCCTCCGAGGTAGAAACAGCTATACCCAGCAAGCTCTTCAACGCAAGTCGCTCCGTTAAGACAAGGATGGGAGTAACATGCTTTAAGAAATAGAAATCATGTGTTCAAAGTCAAACAGCACAATAGTCACCGTTGCGAATAATGTTGGGATACTTACCTCCTTCATTAATTAAAATGGCTGTGTGAATTTGTTTTGTTCTCGATAGATAAGTTTATATCTTCTCAGAACTTTAAATGACCAATTTTCTTGACTCTTTGGATTGATAAATGAAGTTCTGAAAATATACAAACATTAACAAATATAAAATACATCATATTCTCACAATCATTTCGTGAAAAGAGGTAAGAAAATAAACGTCCGACTTAACGGGCCACAATGCACATGATGTGCTTACTTGTGCATCTTAACTGAACAGCTAAAACAACGTCATCAAAAATCCAAAAAATGTCTTATATTCATCTCATTTTTGCTAAGCTCTAGACAGAGAGAGAGAGAGAGAGAGGGGGGAGAGAAACAGGGAGAGAGATATATACAGAGAGGAGAGGGGAGCGATAGAGGAAGAGAGAGAGAGAGAGAGAGAGAGAGAGAGAAAGTGGGAGGGGGATACAAGGAATAGTTTATCGTACCTGGATGTGCACAGTATAAGTTCATTTTGTCCCTCGCTTCTTTTGGCGTTCTGATGTCATATTCAGGGTGATCACGTGTTAAAGACCTTGACCGGAGCAGAGCATTATATAGACAAATTATATACCTACGGACTCGTGAATATTTAATGAATATGAAAATGCAAACTTCTCGAGATTCCACGGCCTCTGAAAGAAGTATTTAGCATCCGAACCCCAGGATTCACGGATTTGAGAGGGGCACCCCGGAGATTTAGTTTCGGCTGCGCTAGCCGGTGGCCGTTTCTACCCGTTTCTGATGACGTCATAACGTGTAGGTTATTTGGCCACTCGGTATAGCAGCTGGTTCGTCGCATGGTGGTCGGTATGTGAAGTTTTCTTCTCTCTTTTTTTGTTGTTGTAAATATCAATGTCGAAGCTGTATTTGGACATTTTACGATTAGAATGTTGACATTTTATATCTGTATTAATTTCACGCTACGTAATATGGAATATCAACCCCAAATTTCCACTAAATTAGATTGAAACGAATCATTTGCCCGCGCTGCTGGCTGCCTGCCTCGGTCTGCGATTGCACAACTTTCAGCAATCTATCGCTGAGCCTCTTGCCTTCACTTATTGGAGAGTAGGTAACGAGTTTATGATGATAGACATTACATTACCAAAAAGATCAAATCAACTGTCACAAGTATGTTATTCATGTGACCTTTATTTTTAACTTCACTCTTTTCAGATTATATTTGGCTGTCCTACATTGGAACGAAAATTGTGATAGAGCCCAGGCTGTTGATGCCGAAGGGAACCCAGTGTACAGGTTGAGGTATCCACGCTCGAAGGAAGGAGGCCACACAGTGGAGAGAGTGCTGACAGCTGGCACATGTGGTAAGTAGCCACATGTCTAGTGAATGATATCAATATTCAACAAAAGAGCTCAATTATATATAGAAATCTTGTATTACTTCATGATCAATAGAATTCAAATTAGTAGATTCTTGTGGCCTATATGCCCTTAATTTAATCTGTTGATTAAATTGATAATTATAAACATGTATTGGGTTACTTTCTGCAAATGTGTAATATTGAATAGCAATTAAGCAGAAACAGGCATATATGTCAGTCCCCAAGTCAGTGAACTACCTATTCAGCAAAGAACATGTGCATGCCATTGGTATTTGATTGGTCATCCACCTACAAATAGTGTGTAAAATTAGGTAATTCAATATTTGTGAGAAAAAGAGTTTTCTCTTCTTATGTTCTTATTTTTCTCTTTTCCTTTTTTCCTCTTATCAAAGTGTATTTTTTTAACACCGTATAGATGAATTTTCAAGGTATAGTTTTGGATTTTATCTTGTAGGTTATGTGAAAGCCCTGATGAGAGTTTGTCGTAGAACTGGTGGAAAACAGGGAGCAGCTCAGAGACAACATGGAGGAGCTACAGCCTCAACCAGCACGGAGTGCCTCTCATCATCACCCCGACAATGGAGAAGCCGTGCAAGCTTTTGAACAACATCATCGCTTTGGCGATAGAAACTAGTTCTTTTGGTGATAGAAACTATGATGAATGTGTCAGGTACCTGAACATTAACCACTGATTGTTTTATTTCAGTACAATACATGTTTTTCATAGACCCTAAATTATGTTTATGCCAGTATAATTATGGAGAGTAACATGGAAGTACTCTATCATATGCAAGTGAGTAGTGCATTCCGATTCTATGTGAGTGTAAAGCACTAGAAACTTGTCTGTAAGCTTGTACATACTTACACAAGCCAAAGTCCATGGTACACATCAATAGTCATTGGTTTTAATAGGTAAAATACTTATTAAATTTGTAAAACTTACATTTTTAGTTCAATTATAAACAATTTCTGAAGCATATGCACTAGATTTTCATAAACACTAAGTAAATCACTGTTGATCATGAATTTGGCACCAAATATAATCTGATTTTTCTCACAGTCCTTCATCTTGGCCAATGCTTTTTGCTTCTTATTTGCAAAAAATAAAAAATAAAAAAAATGCATTTTTTTTCTTCATCTAAACTGTTCTTATTCAAGAACCATTTGATGTATTGCACCAGATATGACTTTATTTTTTGTTTTTGATTTTTTCCCTTTTCTGCCGAGGTGAATTGTGTTAGTCATTTTCAAAGTTAGTAGTTTTAAAGATCATGCCATATTATCACAGAAGAGGAAACATTGTGATGATACTTCATCGCATCCATACTTTTGTTTTCCTAACAGCGGTTTCCTGTTTGTCCTAAAACCTGGTTATAAAAGATTGAAAAATAATCATCCTTGCAGATATAATAAAAAATAGTCATCTATCCTGTAAACTTTACATAAAATAAGGATGAATGTAATGTACATGTTGCATCAAAGTTTTTGTTCCAATGGTGCATCATTTTGAAATATATTGCACAAACAGAGAAGAAAATGATTGGGGGGAAAAACTGTCAATGGGATGTTCTGAGAATATTTTGAGCAAAGGTAAACAAAAATTCATCTAAAGGAACACAAATCTTGTTTGTTTGTTTCTATTATAGGTGTCTTGTAGGAAGCTCCATAATTCAAAGATGGAAATTGCTGTGAAAATGAGAGTGAGATAGAGAATGTGAAGGAAGAAGAGGGATAAAGATAAAACCAATAGGGATAGAGTGAGAGATGTGAATGTGATGGATGGAAGAGGAGAAAGAGAGATTGTGAAAGAGTGAGAGATGGGAATGTGATGGATGGAAGAGGAGAAAGAGAGATTGTGAAAGAGTGAGAGATGGGAATGTGGAGGGTGGAGGAGGAAAAGAGAGGCAGAGGGAGAGAGTGAGAGATGGGAATGTGGAGGAAGAGGAGAAGGAGGGACAGAGTGAGAGATGGGAATGTGGAGGGTGGAAGAGGAGAAGGAGGGACAGAGTGAGAGATAGGAATGTGGAGGGTGGAAGAGGAGAAGGAGGGACAGAGTGAGAGATAGGAATGTGGAGGAGGAGAAAGAGAGGAGGGACAGAGTGAGAGATGGAAATATGGAAGAGGAAACAGAGAGAGGAAGTGGGATAGAGAGATGGGAATGTGGAGGGTGGAAGAGGAGAAAGAGAGAGGAAGAGGGACAGAGTGGGAGATAGGGTTAAGGTTTATCCTTTTTGGGAGGATAGATTTGATGCAAAATAAAGGATTTCCTGGATTTATTACGATGCTTACCATTTATCACACATTTGAAATTTCGTCAACCGCAATTCCCTTCTCTTACTCTCATTATTCCTCTGTCTATCTTTGTTGTGTCCATGCTGTTATTTCTCTTTCTCTCAATTTCGTTTTCTCTTTCAATTTCATTTTCTCTTTCTCTCCCCTTTTCTGACTCGGCAGGTTGACTGTATATGAAATGCTCAAATTATTAAAACAAATTACATTGCAGGGTGTATAACAAAAGAGAAGGAACAAGGCATGTTGTGTTTTTTTTTGGGTTTTTTTTGTTGCTTGTTTATATAGATTTCAACATTCTTCCTCATAAGAAATCGTTGCTTGATCACAGTTTTGCAAAAGTTCGAATATCAGCTCTTGGAAATTAGAATCAAATGTCGAGATCAAAGTTCATAGCAACCATACCATCATGAGAAGTTCAAACAATAGTATTTGTGATGAATATGAAGATGAAAGCCGATGATCACAAATAACGTACAGAAGATGGCTGACAATCACATAGAAGATGACAGTCATTCAAAGTTCGCAAGACAATAGTTGATGTTACATCCTCATCTCAACCGACGCAGGATGGTCCCTTTGTACTGACCACGTCCATCAGGATACGCTTCCATTATTAAGGCATGGACACATGCTGGCAGTTGCACCCTGATGTCCTTCCCGAGCCAGCCCCGACACCATCTCATGACTTTCCTGTAGGCCACATACCTGTATTTTCTGTAAAATAAAAAGCAATAAAAAAATTTCATTATTTTTCTTAGGATAGATGATTGGATGTCAAAATATTAATTCTTTATTAATTAATTCAGGAAAATAAAAATGATTAAAAAAAACTAAAATGACCAAGGGTTAGTCATTGTTTGTCGGGCGGTGGGGGGCAACATTCAAAATCGCATAAAAAGTTTGTGTTTCATAACTACAGATTATTGGGGGGGGGGGTGGGGGGTAACATGCTAAAACTCACAAATCGGTGGTCATTCTTGCCTATTTGTATACATTTCCTGAAAAAGTGCCCCGAAGCACCTGCAGATAAGGCAGCTAGTACACCAGTGGTCACCAGGCAAGAATTTTGGTCAAAACTAGTAATTCATCTTGCGGTGACTCAATTCGTTTTGAAAAGTTTCACCCAATAAACTTTCAAAATCAATCCATTTATTTTTTTGCCCTTGCCAAAATGATGAAAAGGAGAAACATAACTTACTCATTGTTCCTGTCCCCAAATGCTTTGGCTGCTCGGCGCCACCTATCTGTGTACTCCATCCATCCGATGTACAATGTTGTCGCATTTAGGATGGCCGGCTCAAACTCCTCAGAATCCACCAGACAACTTGAACCCTGTCGATCAGCCTCTGCCTTGACCTCTGCAAGTTCCTGACAACAGACACAATCACCTTCATTGAAAGATGGAGGCACACGACATCTTCCACATGTACACCTTGAAATACAGAAAGATTCAAACAAAAATCAATACACCTACTATAATTTTATAAATATTTTATTACAGCTTCCTGATAAATATAAAAATGACATCGTTCTCGTAGTCGTAGTATGGTAAGAGTGCCCAAGGCAGTGCCTATGTCTGCGCACCCACGTAAATGCGCGATATTTATAGAACAAAACATCAAACTGACACCAATTTTCAATCTTAACCTCAACAATTCATTTAGATACCAAAATTTGTGAAAATAATTGGGAAGATTAAAAATGAGTTTTAGCAAGTTTCATTTGCCACCCTGAAAATTTCAATCATTGTCAAAAAAGAAAAGTCTGAACAGGGGGTTGTCCCTGGTATGAAACTTCACTGTGCTTGATTGAATTGCGTGCAAAATAGTGAGTGCGCAGACATGGGCACTTTTCAGTTTTGCTACACAAAATGACGAGCCCGTCTGAAATTCGTTAAAAAAAATTGTTCTTGTGAATAATTTGTCGAGTTTTTTTGTTTCAGTAATCATTAGAATATGAAGAACGGAATAACAATGATGATTCTAAAAATAATATCTTACTGTGTAATGAAATCGAGGTCGAATTTTAGGTGCGCAGACATAGGTCTAGATCTAGAGAATCATTCTAACAAGTTAACTTTAGAATTAGACATGCCATTTATGACCGAGTCTAGAGATCTACGGTATTTGATTTCAATTTTTGGGGGGAATAAATATTTAGAATGCACAACAAATTCAATAAGCTTATAAGTCTTAATTACCAATCCTCGACATTTTCATGAAGCCGATTTGCGTTGTTGGCCCTTCCAGCATCGCCAACATTTTGCCCAGGTTCACCACGAGGTAAAGGCTCATACTCCCACTCGACGATACGCCCGTGTTCTCCGGCGTCTGCATCACTTGCATCGCTGTCGGTGTACTGCTGCTGCCACTGTCCGGACTGTCACTACTACCACTGACACTGTCATTTTCACAGGCTTTCCCCGCAACTGCCATCCTCCTCACACTCAAATTCCATAACTAAATCATCTTGTGCATCTGCCCTGACGACTGGGGTAGCCATTCTCTTTAGAAAGACTTCTCAAAACTTCTCAAACTTCAATCGATAAAAAGCAGAAAGGATTCACGGTACGCAAAATCAATGTAGATCTCGAACATCGCGCGGCGAAGAATTATAGCAAACAATTCGAGTCTACACGGAATGACGTCACCCAAGTCCGTGCGGCGCGGGGGCTCTTGACCGAGGCGAATTTGGGAGGGGGCGGCAGTTGTACTGTAATTTTCATTTTTCTCAGTAATGAAAGGGTATTTAATTTTTTCTTTCTTGTATTTGTATTTTGTGTTTCATTAGCCGTCTGTGGATGTATGGTTGTGTACGCTCCGGTCAAGGTCTTTAAATACTTGGGAACAAACTTGACCAATTTCCCAGTATATTCGGAGATTCCATAAGGACAGATGTCCAGGGGTATTTCAGGGCAAATATCGTCACCTAAAGCGCCTGTTTATTTAGCGTAAGACAAAAAGGAATCAAGAACAATGAGAAGAAAAAAGAAGAAAGAAAAAGAAGACAAGAAAATAATAAAAAGTAGTAGAAGAAGAAGAAGAATAAAGAAGGACAAAATTACTACGAATAATAATAAGTATTTGTCCTGCTCACTTTCTGATATTGTACCACTCAATGCGCTACAATGTACTTTAATACTAATGCTAAACAAAAGGACCCCCAAACTAAAATAATATTGGACATTTAACATTAGGTTTCCAAGTAGCTCTGGTGAAAGAGAAAGAAGGAGAAGAAAGGAAGAAGAAGAAAATATGTTAAATTTTGAGTAGATTATAACGCTGACGTAAGTCCCATTTGTTGGTCTATTGTTACGCGAATGACCCTATATACAATTTGTAATGAAACGAAGAATTAAAACATTTATATTTGTCAGTATTATTGTTATCATTATCGATATTATTACTATTGGACTTTGTTATTATCATTGACTTATTATTATCATCATCATTTTTGATAATTGTAGTAGTAGTAATAATAATAGTATGATCATCATTTTGGTATCATTATTGTAATCACAATCATCACTTTAAATCAACCTTCGTATTCTATAACATAGGGTAAATGTAATGCAAGCATCAATTTAATAAAGAGGTTTTCATCAAGCTAATAATGGGCATATACGTTGTCATCACATTACATGCACGGTAATTAAGAGAATGAAAACTAAAATAAAAAAAGGTAATTACTCAACAAACCCTTTCCTAATGAATCAGGGTGAAAAATACGATGCTTTCACTTTTTTGATGAAAATCAGTGAGTTTGAAATTATATGAGCTGTCCTTTAATGAATGTTATGAATATTTAATTGGTAGGCGATGAATAACACATGACATCATTTAATAAGTAGAGCACAGAGCCGGCAAAATAGGTGACCAACTTTAATTTTTGGTTGACATCCTCTCTAAATACAAAAGATCGCGCTTATTTTGTGAAATGAACGAGCTACCTACGTAAAAGAGTAAAAGCAACACTCTTACAAAGGGGTGGCACTTTATCGAATAGTGACATTAAACGGATATGGAGAGAGAGGGAGAGAGGGAGAGAGAAAGGGAGAAAATTATGTGACCCATTTCTGTGTCCAGTGTCGTTCACAATATACGGTTATTAGCGAGGTTTATCAGGTTGGATGATTTCAATCCTTAAAACAGGTCTGGCTCTAGAATGTTAGATTCCTTATCTAGAGCGTCCGCCTCACAACCGGGAGGTCGTGGGTTCGAACCCCGTCATACCAAAAGACGTTAAAAGACGGGAGTTACTGCTACCTTGTTTGGCGCTCAAGAATAGGGGATAGAGCAACGTCGATCTGGCGTTGCTCAGTGGCTGCCGGGCTCACGATCAATTGGGCAAAAAGAATTTTCTTTTCGGTTGAATAAAATTTGGAGTGGACTTTAAAAGATTATTATTAGTAGTAGTATTAGTATACGTATCCATCCCAGTGGATGCTCAATTCGCCTATATTACCCTGGCTTTAGCCCAGCTGCGCTAAGGTGCTGTAGAAATTGAACCTTTTTACTACACGTGGATGAAGAGTGGTAACTGTAGATTAATACATTAGTACCGCGGCTAGATTCGAACCGCAAACCATGTGATCCACAGTTCAGTGGTATATCATCTAGACCACGGCAACTATCAACAACCCTTATTGCTTCTTTCACATCGAGTTCGCATATCCACAACTCCACTTTACATTCAAAAATTGTTCAAAAATTAATAATGTAGTAACCATAATAACTCACCGTAAGGGAGTAAAAGGAACGCGATGGCCAACTTTAAATGCTAAGAACGGAATGTATATGGTTAAAAAGAGAGAAAAAGTGGTATTAAAATACGAGTATGAAGTCAGTATATGTCTGCATGCTAAAAGATTCACGGTTGTTGTAAGTCCATTTTACAACCAAAATGAGCGATATTTGTGATGAACTTGGGAGATCGTGGTCAAACAAATTCAGGCTTTATTTTCTTTTGAACAATTTGAGAGCTAATGAAATGAGTGTGTAAATTCTTTGAAAATAATGGGATAATTAGAGGCCAACATTTAAAACCTGTTATGTTACCTACCAACCAAAACATGCTCAAAGACACTCCTTTTGTATTAATAAAGCGCTTTCATACGAAATACTCTCTATAAGCGCTTTACATATATTATTATACCGGCCATGGGATTCATTCACTCTCAATGCGCGCCATTTCAATTACTTTGGGAGTATTCCTACCATATGGTTACCGTGAGATCAGATAGCCACTACTACCACAAAGCATTTTTTTTTACCAGGTCCCCATTTCTTTCCTGGGTATAGAGTGGCAACTGGAGATGAATGTCCTGTCAAAGGACACTGGTGCCGTGTTGCAGATCGAACCCAGGACCTTTGTATTTCAAGTCCAGTGCTTAAACCACTTGACCACGACACCTTCTAACATGGTAAAACATGATAAATAATGATGAAATAGTGACGTGCAAGTAAACACCATTCTCCTAAGGTTAACCTACAGGAGCTTGCAGCCATCTGATGACAAGACGGGTGGTATCCTTGAAAGCAGCAACTGCCAGAGCAGTAACCGCAGTGGCCAGTAGCTGATTCCAGATCCGAATGGTCTCGGAATAGAATGAATCTTGACGGTTTAAAACCGGCTCCACGATACTTAACAATTGAAAAAGAATACACTACAAAATAAGTAAATACACATTTGTACGTACCATGATCGGGAATATTCCAGCAACTCAAAACCGTGATAAAATTTAAATCTTAAAAAATGTCCTGAAACTATGCATATGCACCTCTATGCCCGAGGGTCTATGTATATATCCTTCTGCGCTGCGTCGGAAAATGCATTTTAGAATACACTCTCTCCAACTTCAGCCTTTGCTACGCTCACTTTGTTGTGGTAGCTTTGTTCCCACGGCACCATAATCTTGAATTTCTTAGTTTGCAAATCCTCGAAGTTTTAAATAACGACCTATTAACAACATACGACTCCGGGAAAACAAAAACGTGCTCGGAGGTTTAAACTAGGCCAGCCCATCAAGCTTCCGTATAGTAACTACACGCTGGCGAGAAATTGAAGATAACCGCGTCCACACGGCAAAACATATCGAATGAGGACCCAGCTGTTTCTAGTTGGCGCGTTAACTATAAAGTCACTCTTGGATTAATACCTCGAGGGAAATAAGAGTTTCCCAAACCATGTGTGCGTACATTTTGAACTTGACTGCAAGACAACATTAAAGTTTAAAACGCCGAGATAACCATTAAGCTGAGAGATTGCCAAATAAACATAGCTGATATTATCATGCTTTGTGATTTACGAGTAGCCGTATACATGATTAGCCACATAGCATACCGATTGGTAGATATATAGTCGCAACTAAACCTTGCCTCACTACGTACAATACTTAAAATAAAAGCTGTACCCTCGGTAAAGGATTATGACAAATATATTGCGATCAAGTGTATAATGCCAGTTAACACGAGCTACTTTAAAGCATAAAATGAAGTTTTTCACTCATTCACATATAAGAGGGTAACGGGACCGGTTATGCTATTGGAGGCTTAAATTACGAATACAAATAATAATTATTGTTATTTATTTGACCATAAAAATGCAAGATATACATATTAAGTAATATATAATGATGCAGCGTAAAATAAGGAATGGCTTTGTGGCCCGTAGGTATGTGAACCCTCACAACCCATATTATTACTATATTATCTTTATACAGTCAAACCTGCTTTAGTGACCACCTGTCAACAAAGACCACCTTTCTATAAAAACCGCATGTTTGTTTCCCTTGACAATAGTTTCTCATTGAAACATGTACTAAAGGAACCTGTCTACAAAGACCACTTGTCTACAAAGACCACTTTTTGTGTTTCCCTTGGGTTGTCGCTTTAGACAGGTTTGACTGTAATAAATCATTCAGTGGGGCAGGTAGAGTTGTTTTGTTTAATGACAAAACACGAGAAAAGAAAAATAAACAGTGAAAAGGGAACGGTGCGAGAAAAGGAGACGGGTATATCATCTCCCACAACTTAAAAAGCAACAAGGAACAGGCTAAAGCAGGGCAAAATCAGTGTCTGTGAGCTGGTGTGAGTAAATTTGGCCAATATGACGTCACATTCTTTATTGGCCTGGTTTCAGTCTAAATACAGGTCAATTTTTGTTAATTCTAACATGGTGATATACTACTAATGATAATAATACTTCTGTTTTAACTACTACTTGTACTATAATTATACTACTTATATTACTATTACTTTTAACCCCCCCCCCCCCTACTCCGGGGTCGGAATGACCGCATGCGTGTTACCAAAATGTCCGGTAAAGGAGTACTTTTCACGCACCAAAGTCCGGCTCGTAGTACACAACAATCCAGCCCGTATTAACTTTACACACCGGACTTAGTGGGTGTTTTCAAAAGGAGGGAACACGCATATGCGTACCCTAAATAACACTGAGTGGGGGCGGGGGGGGGGGGGGAGCCGGGCTTTTACCATTCACACTATTCTTACTATTGATACAACTGTATGATTATTAGTGCGTGAGGCTATTGTGAATGGATATTGGAAATGAGCCGGACATTGCCTGATGTGAAGTTCATCAGAGCTGCGGTGAATCGAACTGGTTAATGAACTGGCAGACGAACTACGGTGAGTCGAGCTCGTGTGTGAAGAGGACATTTTTTTTTTTTTTTTTTTTTGGGGGGGGGGGGGGGAGGTGGGTCTCCCAAAAATCGCAAGTACTCAGCCAACCGTTGAAAAAGCGAGGGGGGGGGGTTAGGTCAACTTTTTTAGATCAGCCAGTGGCATTTTTTTTTTTTTTTTTTTTTGTAAAAAAAAAAAAAAGGGGGGTTGGGGAGAGCGGATTTTCGTCCAAAATACACACATAAAAAATACCAAATGGGGGGGTGGGTGGGTCTCTCAAAAATCGCAAGTACTCAGCCAACCGTTGAAGAAGCGAGGGGGGGGGGGGTAAGAGCACACTTCTTTTTTGTTTTTTTTTGTCTCGAAATTTGAAAAATTGATATATTTTTTTTTTTAATAAAAAAAAATAAAAAAATAAAAACCTAAGTGGGGAGGGGGAGGGGGGGGGGGGAGAGCGGATTTTCGTCTAAAATACACACATAAACAATACCAAATGGGGGGTTAAACCCCCCCCCCCCCCCCCCCCCCCCCCCCCCCCCCTCTGCGTACGCACCGGGGCACGGTAGAATAAGTCCGAAGAGAATATCACAGAGGCTGTTCACACCGCAATGAGTTAGCGCGGTCTATCGTAGCACCCCCTTTTTTCTAGCGCGCGCTAGACCGCGCTATCTCTCGTGGACCACCCCCAAGAGGTGCTCCAGTGGCACGCCGTTTTGGCTCGCCGTGGCTCGCTGTTGGGCGGACCGAAACGACGTTGTACCTTCCAAACCGCAGAGATAGCGCGGTCTAGCGCGCGCTATCTCTGCCGGTGTGAACAGCCTCACAGATACGTGGTGACTCGACTGAGGTGTAAGCAGGAGTGAAGCAAACCTCGTGGTGTTGAAAATACGCGGAGCCGGGGTGAACGGTGCGTGGATGCGTGATTGGAGGAATGAACACACGTGGTGCGAATAATGAATATAAATAAGTAGCGTAATGGAAAATTACTGGGAAAAAAAATGTACAGTAAAATGAGTGCGAATGAATGAGTCGTTACACAACTTTACTAAGACTACTCAAAAAACAAATGCAAACTAAGAAAATAGACAAATACAAACCATGCTGTTGAACATTTTGGATGGGTTTTTTCGACGTTTATTGTTACGCTTCACTTCAGGTGATGATTAAATTTATTGTCTACGTGTATGCCTCAATGATCTGAGCAATAATGAATTTTGCCCCAATTCAGCATTGGTCGGAAGGATATCAGTTGTCCAAATGAAATCGACCTGAAAATGCACTTTTGAGGATAATGCATTGGCATACAAAAAGTGGAAGGAGGGGCTGGGTTCCCCCTTTCTTTTGTCAAGAGAGAGAGGGGGGGGGGGGGTGTTTACAATATATACAAATAGTTTACAATTCTTTTGTCAGTACCCCTTTTCCCAAGCTCCCTGCCTCCCTCCCCTCCCCTCTCCGGCCCCGCCGACGAGAAGGTTGGCTACACATGTACTGAAATGGCAATGGAAATTGTATTACCATAACGTTTATATCAATCTGTAACGTAAACATTATTCTGTTCATATTAGTACAGACGTCCCTGCGTGTAACACAAAAATTGTATGTATCTGCTGTTTGTTGCATTACTTTTCTTTTCTTTACTACTACTACTACTACTACTACTACAACTTCTGCTAATTCTACTACTACTTCTACTACTACTACTTATATTACTACTTCCACTACTACTACTACTACTACTACTACTACTACTACTACTACTACTACTACCACTACAACAACAACAACTAATGTTACTTCTACTACTACTACTACTACAACTACTACTACTACTATTACTACTACTTCTACTACTACTATTACTACTACTACTAATAAGACTTCTACTACTGATATTAATATTACTACTACAACCCCTACATCCAATACTACTACTACCACTACTCTATCTACCATCCTTACCTCTACTACTTCTTCTAATACTAATTATTTTAATTATTTGGTATGTATTAGTATAGAATGATCGACCAGCAGAACAAGCTGAAATGGTGAATTTACAAAAGTATAGTGATGTTTATACATGTACAATTGTATTACAAAGCATAGTAAATAAATCAGTAACAAATAGCTCATTAAGGGATAGTAATAAAGCGAAAGGAGTAAAAAGAGAGGATAAGAGAATCGGAAATCGGTGGGTCATCAGTCGGGACCTCGCTCGGAGAAGCTCCCCGATTTCCCCCAGTTTTGACCTAAAATCGACCGTCGACCGACGGGAAATCTACAGGGCACCGCCTAGGCATCGTGGGGGCTCTACAGCCTGCTCGACATCTCCAAAAATCGTTGGGCGATGCCTAAAGCTATGGTAACAGCACCTAAAAGTAGTCTGCTTGGCGGCCGGGCGGTGAGTTTTTAGCCAATTTTGACCGGGCACATAGCGGCGGCCGCCCGGTCACCGCTTTTTTTTTTAGGGCATCGCTCGGTTGCTGCTGAAGTTTTCGCGCGGAGTTGAATTCGGCGTCCCCTGCTCACTTTTCAATCGCCATCAATAATACGCTCGGCGACCGAGCGGTCGCCGCCGAGGCACCGACGTAATCAAGCGATCGCCGTCGAGCGGTTTAGGTCAAACATCGAAGCCGTTAAGTCAAAGGCTGCCGAGCGGTTGCCTCCAGGTCGCCGTCCGGTCACCGCTCGGAGATCAGTCGGTCACTGACGGCAAGTTAAAAATCGGTCGACAGCCATTGACCTAGCGGCTTCGATGTTTGACCTAAATCGCTCGACGGCGAACGCTCGATTAGGTCGGTTCCCTGGCGTGGACCGCCCGGGCACCGAGCGTATTTTAGTGCCCCGTCGATCACCGGCCGGCCGCCGGGCAATTTTTTATAAAATCCGCTGGTGGCCGGTGGGAGACCGCTCGGGGGTCAGTGGGTCATCAGTCGATCACTGTCGGGATGCCGGCCGGAGAAGCTCCCCGATTTCGCCCAGTTTTTACCTAAAATCGACCGTCGACCGACGGAAAATCGACAGGGCAGCGCCCGGGCATCGCTGGTGCTCTACAGCTTGCTCGACTTCTCCAAAAATCGTTTGGCGATGCCTAAATTCCAGCGGTGACCGAGCAGGCTACAAATCGGTCGGTCACCGCTCTGAGTTGGATGATGGATTCATGATACCTTTCAGTACTACATTTTATTGTCAGACAACAGTCATGTTGCGCAACTGTCTTATGCTGAGGTGGACTTGGGCATGGGCAAAAGGTGTTTGTGGTGATCAGAG